GACTTTGATTAACCAATCACAAACCAGTATTTACTGAAGTCATGGTAGAAGTATCGTTAATGCATTTGTTTGGTTATTGATTTATGTTTAAAATATGCCTTGTAGGCAATGCTGGGATGTCGTACACAGACGATGGTGTAGCTGACTGCCCAGGCAGGGAATGCGTGAATGGGTTTGAGGACATTCAGTGCAGTATTCTGATTACACCGTACAAGCAGGATGGTGCATGTACATACTTTTCTTTTGAGAACGTGTCTCTGTACAAAATACCCTGAAACATATTACACACTTATTCTCAAGGAAAAGAGTTTATTCTCAAGAACGCTATAGAGACCAACGTATAATTAAAAAGTTGACTCCGCCGCCAGGTTTGTAAACAAGTCCAGGATGTGCATACTTTATGTGGTTAACGCAACCTTCCTTCCACGTGATTATCAGTACAAAGTACATGTATGAATGCGACCCTTTCGTCAGTTTCAAGGCCGTTAAACCATGAATAAGCACGTCCGTTACCAGAGAAAACTATTACAACAACTGTGCATTTTTCGGGAACACTCCGATCTTGTAAGGAGAACTGTGCACAGTATTTAAATAACTCTGACAAGGTTGACTGTGTCTATTACTCTGTAGAGAGGTTCTTCAGTGCTTAACATAAAGGCTTCTACTAAAGACTTCTTATAACCTGTTGCACAAAGAGAATTCTGAGGAGCGTCATGGGCGATTTGGTTTAACCCGCTTAGAATGAAAAATACTATCAGTAAGTCAGTAGGGATTTAAACACAATTTATTCAGTGTATCTGGATAGGTAAACCAGCCTAGAAGGCTTATGTGATTATCCTTCCAGTTCAAGTAATGTAATAATTCATGAAGACATTATATAATATAATACATGATGGTAAACAAGTAAACAATTAACCAAAGCAAGTGGTCATGGTATAATGAAGTATAGGAGAGGTATAATTAAGAAATACAGTTCGCTCTACCACCATGTAAAGTGTAATAAAACACACTTTCGCCCTGAACTATTATAGTTAAAGTATGAGGACGCTTGCGTCCGAGTGCTTTAACGTTATAATAGTTCAGGGCGAAAGTGTGCTTTGTTACACTATACATGGTGGTAGAGCAAATTGTATTTCTTTTTTCTAAGATGCCAAATTTAATACTTTCTAAGGATAATTACGATTAATCTAAGGCAGAAAACAAACGACGGTGACGAGGGTAGAGTTATTGTCTTATTGTTTTATGTCCCAAATGCATGGTACATAAAACAATAAGACAATACCCTACCCTCGTCACTGTTCCCATGTATAAAGCATAATTTCTATGTATACACTGCTACTACTTTACATTCTATACATTTATAAATACGTCTCTGTACATTTCTAAACCAATCAACAATTTTGTATAAGTATCTGCACAGTTCTAAATTGATCCATTAATTTTGCAGTAAACGACATCTTATATACTAGTATTCATAATAACATGTATTCTATTAGCCATGTCATCTGTATCTATTGACCACCACATGTATTGCGTCGTCATAGCATTGTGACGTCATAAGCATTGTGACGTCACGGCCAGAGTTAACAGTTACTGTTCAGTTTTACCTGATGATGGGGCCAGAACAAGCCCTGAAACGTTGTACTCGAGAATAAAAAGAAGATGTAACCCAGAAAAAATCTCTATGTTTATACCTTCATTGTCTGATAATGTAAATTTATTTCGATTGTTCTAACCGCTAGGCATCTTAGAAACTTCATTATACCTCTCCTATACTTCATTATACCTCTCCTATACTTCATTCTAAGATGCTTCGGTGAAAGATCAAAGGCGCCGACAGTACTTTATCAGACGATAATGTAACACTTTTTGCATTATGTCACAATGTAATGCCATTCTAGTCTGCCCCCTCGTAATCGAACAATCATCGCCTCGTACAGCTTCCTACAGTAAACTACACCGTTGCATCCCGTTTCTTGGTTGGCAGTTGCTTCACTCAGCTAACATCACTGGTGGAAAGATTACGTTTATGTTTTGCGACGTTTAAAATGTCCCTATTCGACTCACAAGTTTAGAGAGCGAACTGTATTTCTTAAATAGGAGAGGTATAATGAAGTATAGGAGAGGTATAATGAAGTATAGGAGACTGTTTTGTAAGATATTTAAAGTACTACTTTTTGAAAAGTTAGCATTACCATTTCAATACATGCAATCACGTTAAGATAAACGCCCTCAGAGTAGAAGAATGAGTCCGTTCTTTCGTCAGTTTAAATGTGACAGGAAAAGAAATGGCGTGATATAGACATATGTATCAACAGGAACATGCTGCATATTCAGAAATGTGTCTTTCATATCCAGAGACATTTAAACCACTACAAGCAAGTCTGAGGAGAACATGTACAAGCTCAAGCAATCTCCTTCGGATTCCAAATTAAGATCAATATTCAAATTGATATTTTGTTATATATAATCTCCTAAATTCACCAACAGCGCCTGCATCACCATCAGGCATATGGACAAAGCAAATTAGCAAAACGACTTCGTTTAATAAATTGTCACACATCTCACAGTTTGTATATTCTGATATAAGAGCTACCTTGAGTTGAAATATTTTGAGGTATTAGATAAGAAAGCTATCAAGGCGAGAAGTGATCATTTATAGACAGCAGTTTCAAATTATGTCGTCTTTGAAATGGCAGTAAAGACGTTTGTCTCAGCAGAGAAGGTATAATGACCTGTGTTTCTTGTTCTAGCTCTTCCGTTCTCATAAATGTAAAAAGCATTAATTTAAAGACTGACGCCATGTAAGACTTGCACAACATTTCTTGCGATTTACAAGACATCGGTAATTGAGACCATTAACACATGTCATCAACGCCTTACCATTCTAGCATTATTTTCAATATCGAGTTTCCACAATCATTGGTGTAGCATGGATAATTCTAAATATGTGTGTCTCTCTCTCTCTGTGTGTCTCTCTCTCTGTGTGTGTCTTTCTCTCTCTGTGTCTCTGTGTGTGTGTGTGTGTGTTGTTAATTGGTGCGTACGTTTTTGTGAAAGTCACTTACCACAGAGATATATTTTTTAGCTCACAATGAGGTACTTTTTCCAGTTGTGGTAAGATCGCCTACGATTATGTTTACAGATGTGTCAACAGCACAATTTTGACTGTTACTATCAATTCCATCAATTATGTGATCAATGAACGCTAGAAATACATATGTCCTAAAGTACCCTTGGCTACACCAAACGTTATGGACTTGGACCCAGATCACCAGGAATAACCCTGACTGTGCTTGTGCGCGTTATTTGAGACTGAAGTCCCCGATTCACTGCAGGTAGATACACTAGTTGGTCACGGTCGTTACTATCCAAGTATTCATTCCGTAGGAAATCTGCTCACTGAAAGAAAAGGTGAACAGCACAACTTACAAGGTCAGCTGAACTGGATATACCATTCAAACCATTTGAAAATACCCCGGGCGATTATCACAAGTGGGGACTTGTATACGTTGATGTGTACAAGGCAGGTGTATATTCTCGAAGAATCTACATGCAGGTTGACACAGGGGCTGAACACAGATGCATAAATAGATCCACTGTGAATGTGTGTATCTAGACGAGAATAGGCATCACGTTGCTTTCCCTGGGAGTTTGTATTTTGTCAGCACATCAGTCGTATATGTAACTTGTTATGACCTCTACTGTAAGAGAAGACGACAGTCACATTCCAGGACATTGTCTCCGATGACGCTGCGACAACTGAGCTTCAGTGACACTAGGGCCCATGAGTTATACAATTTATGATCGGTCGTCGAAAGAAAGACAAGGTTTATAAAACGACTAGAATGGTTTCGGAACCTAATCCTGACACCTCAAAACACCTGATACCTTGCACAGAGTTGCTACGTGTACATGAGACTAATGCATTGTCTCGATAGAAACAAACAATTGATAGAAACAAACAATTCCCTTTAAGTTGAAAAGGAACCCAAGTGAGAAGTTAGATTCAGAACTTGAGGAGTGCTAGGGCTTTAGCATTACAGAAAGGGCTGGGCAGAAGGAAAAAAATGCGGTTCAGGGACTGTGAGACAGACTACGTTCACATGTGTTTCATTCTTGATTTGGTCCTTTTGAAAAATCAGTGAAAGGTCGTCATATCGTTCTAGCTCGTCACGCCCAAGACCCGGGTTCGATTCCCCACATGGGTACAATAAGTTCTCTACTCATACGGGAGGCTCAGTCGTCCAAGTCATCCCGGCAAAAACATAACGAATCTCGCCGCGAATAGCTGCAAAGGCTTTAAGCAATATTTACTAACTCACTCAAACAACGTGTACTTTAGGAAAGGTGAATATGATTAAAGTAACTTTTTGTTGATTCCTTTTTATAAAGCAAATTGTAGATCAAACTAATATTCACATAAACTTGTATCCATCGTGTTAGTGCCGAGTCACTTGTAACTGTGGAATACATTGTACAGAAGAGCGATAACAGGATATCTCATTCAAATCGTCCATAGTAACGACTTGGCGTATTGACGAATCATGGTAAATTGGCATCAGTGGTATTAATCATATCAGGGAGTCTATGTAGGAAGTGGGGCGGTGGGGTAGCCATAAATATATCTGACCTCCGGCAGTTCCTCGACGTTATTGTTACCTGTGCCACCACCAGCGTTAGAGGTTGCGAGGTCGTCAAGGTTACACGAAACCAAATATTTTCCCATTGACTTCTATAGTAACGTTATATTTTAATTCATTTTAACTAATATATCAACAGCTATTACATGTACATGTGTGCATAGTCTGGCCTTAAAGAAGCAATAAAAATATAAAATATGAACACTTCAGCCAGCTCCTTTTATGAGTACAGGAAGATAAACAGACCTACGCCAGTTCCGCTAAAAATGTCAACGGCTTGAAAATATTTGTGGCCATATACTGTATATGTCATCATGTAAAAAAGCCAACACTAATTATAAGAAAATATGGTCGTTTTAATTACTGGATGGATGTACATTTATAAAACACAAAAATCTTATACAAAGTCAACCAATCACAGCTGTCAGATGATTCGGTCTGCACTGCACATACGAACAGTGTTAGTTAAACAATGATCCTAATTCGGTGTAGTCTAACCTGGAGGGAGGAAGGGGCATGGTGAAGTAATCCTCAGCCACAATCAGCAGCTGCAGCCACTGCCACCTGACGTATTGGCTTGAAGAAGTGGCATACCTTCACGGACCGTTCCAGCCACTGCCACCTGACGTATTGGCTTGAAGAAGTGGCATACCTTCACGGACCATTCCAGCCACTGCCACCTGGCTTGAAGTATTGGCTTCCAGAACCTGACGTATTGGCTTGAAGAAGTGGCATACCTTCACGGACCATTCCAGCCACTGCCACCTGACGTATTGGCTTGAAGAAGTGGCATACCTTCACGGACCATTCCAGCCACTGCCACCTGACGTATTGGCTTGAAGAAGTGGCATACCTTCATGGACCATTCCAGCCACTGCCATACCTTCACGGACCATTCCAGCTGACGTGGCATTGGCCACTGCCACCTGAAGAAGAAGTGGCATACCTTCATGGCATACCTTCACGGGCTTGACCATAGCCACTGCCACCTGGCGTATTGCATTGAAGAAGTGGCATACCTTCACGGACCATTCCAGCCACTGCCACCTGCCATTCCAGCCACTGCCAACCTGACGTATTGGCTTGAAGAAGTGGCATACCTTCACGACCATTCCAGCCACTGACCTGACGTATTGGCTTGAAGAAGTGGCATACCTTCATGGACCATTCCAGCCACTGCCACCCTGACGTATTGGCGGAAGAAGTGGCATACCTTCATGGACCATTCAGCCACTGCCACCTGACCATTCCAGTATTGGCTTGAAGAAGTGGCATACCTTCGGACCATTCCAGCCACTGCCACCACCATTCCAGCCACTGCCACCTGACGTATTGGCTTGAAGAAGTGGCATACCTTCACGACCATTCCAGCTTGAAGAAGTGGCATACCTTCATGGACCATTCCAGCCACTGCCACCTGACGTATTGGCTTGAAGAAGTGGCATACCTTCACGAAGCCACCCTGACGTATTGGCTTGCATACCTTCACGACCATTCCCAGCCACCTGACGTATTGGCTTGAAGAAGTGGCATACCTTCATGGACCATTCCACGCCACTGCCACCTGACGTATTGGCTTGAAGAAGTGGCATACCTTCACGACCATTCCAGCCACTGCCACCTGACGTATTGGCTTGAAGAAGTGGCATACCTTCATGGACCATTCCAGCCACTGCCACCTGACGTATTGGCTTGAAGAAGTGGCATTGCCAAGAAGCCACTGGGCATACCTTCACCGGACCATATACCTTCACGGACCATTCAGCCACTGCCACCTGACGTATTGGCGGAAGAAGTGGCATACCTTCACGGACCATTCCAGCCACTGCCACCTGACGTATTGGCTTGAAGAAGTGGCATACATCATACCTTCACGGACCATTCCAGCCACTATTGACGTATTGTCTTGAAGAAGTGACGGACCATTCCTCACCTTCACGGACCATTCCATACGCCACTGCCACCTGACGTATCACAGAAAACAATGACTTTATCCGATTTGCGACACTGATTGTTCTTTTGTGATGATAATCTGGCGTTAGGGCAAATATTTTCACTGTTTGATCTGAACTTTTTCACTGACAACTTTTAGACACACGAATCACAGTGGACCCAGGTTTCATTGTGGGTTACAATCCAAATCACAAACATAACAGCACTCTGTTGATAACTGTCAAAATGTTGCTGTATATATTAAGTCGGGTCAGCTATTCAAGTATCGAGGCTCTTGATGACCATATTGAGGACCCATTAAGAAATTTTTTCCTTCCCGTTTCCTTCCCCGTTAAGCACTTTCACTGTTTCTCCACCCCATTAAGTACTTTCACTGTTTCTCCACCCCATTAAGTACTTTCACTGTTTCTGTTCCCCATTAAGTACTTTCACTGTTTCATTCCCCATTATGTACTTTCACTGTTTCCTTCCCCATTAAGTACTTTCACTGTTTCCCCACCCCATTAAGTATTTTCACTGTTTCCTTCCCATTAAGTACTTTCACTGTTTCCTTCCCCATTAAGTATTTTCACTGTTTCCTTCCCCATTAAGTATTTTCACTGTTTCCTTCCCCATTAAGTATTTTCACTGTTTCCTTCCCCATCAAGTACTTTCACTGTTTCCCATCCCATTAAGTACTTTCACTGTTTCTTACACCATTAAGTACTTTCACTGTTTCCTACCCCATTAAGTATTTTCACTGTTTCCACCCCATTAAGTACTTTTATTAATTCCATTAAGCTGGTTTCTCCCCATTAAGCATTTTCCCATTAAGCATTTTCACTGTTTATCAAGCACTTTCCCATTAAGCATTTTCACGGTTTCTTACACCATTAAGCATTTTCACTGTTTCCTACACCATTAAGTATTTTCACTGTTTCTACCCCATTAAGTATTTTCACTGTTTCTACCCCATTAAGCAGTTTCACTGGTTCCTACCCCATTAAGCATTTTCACTGTTTCTTACACCATTAAGTATTTTCACTGTTTCTACCCCATTAAGCATTTTCACGGTTTCTTACACCATTAAGCATTTTCACTGGTTCCTACCCCATTAAGCATTTTCCCTGTTTCTTCCATCATTAAGTATTTTCACTGTTTCTACCCCATTAAGCATTTTCACGGTTTCTTACACCATTAAGCATTTTCACTGGTTCCTACCCCATTAAGCATTTTCCCTGTTTCTTCCATCATTAAGTATTTTCACTGTTTCTACCCCATTAAGCATTTTCACGGTTTCTTACACCATTAAGCATTTTCACTGGTTCCTGCACAATTTAAATTCTCAAGGTGACTTCTCGAAAACTATTATAGTTATTAATCTGTCACTTGGTGTCACGTGATATGTTTTATACTAGTCTCTTGTTATGCAAGAATCAAACATCATGTAAACCATTGATTGCAACAACATAATTTCACAGTGAACAGGTAAAGAATACAGATCAACACAAAACGTTAACAGAAATTTGTTTGTTTGCTTTTCAAAAGAGAAATATCTGTTTATCCGAAGTCTTTACTCGGAGTCGTTCCGCCAAGGAAACCTTTCCCCTTCCGGATCTTCGCGAATCAATGAAGTCCCTCGCTCCGTGATGATGTCGCCGGTAGCTCCATCTATTAAGATAAGGGTCGGCAGGCCGACGATGTTGAAATGTTTGGACACACGGGCCTGGGTAAAGAAACAGATGATTGAGTGCTAATAAATTATGGCATTAATTATCTTAAAGGAAACATGTTTCGGTAGTAACTGATATCAACCGGACCAAATTTACCCACTCTACTTATTAAACTTTCAAGAAAGCTGACTGCATTTAGTGAGAGAGTAGGTTTTAGTCCAGTCTAAGCAGTATTCAAACAAATATCATGATGAGAGATTGGCTTCATATATAATAGAGTACCAATGTGGGGAATCGAACACCAGTCGTACGAGGGACAAGCGGACACTTTAACCACTGTGTCCATATTATAGAAAACTGATTACAATTCAGATAAACACAGATTTACTTGAACGTCGATTGTTATTTAAAAAATCCAGCGTAAATGCTACAAAGTCTGAAAAAATATGAACCTTCCTTCCTACCTACCTACCAATCCGATTATCTATCTACTTACCTACCTACCTACCTACCTACCTATCTGCCAATCAGATTATCTATCTACTTACCTACCTACCTATCTACCTATCCGAATATATATCTACTTACCTACATGTACACGCATATGCATGATAATGAGAAAATGAATTTACTTAAATACAGTAATTTTATCATATTCGTAAGTGTGAATGACTGAGATTTCTGAGTTTGAGGAAATGGATATGTTCACTGCAGTGACAGAAATTTGATATGTTAACTGCAGTGAAAATATCACTTTGCATGAACTACTTCCTGGTTGAACAAAGTGTTCTGTGTCTTAGTCCACAACACATTAACGGGCAATGTAAACGTACATATTTCAACAAATACATTTGGCCAGCAATCCTGGGCATTGGATGATCAACCTCCAGCGTAGTATAATCGCACCGATCAGCTGATCACCATGTCATTCAGCGAGTGCAACTGCGAGTGATTGTGGGTCGCTGTGTTATGTCTAGTCTACGTCTCGCTTCGTGCGAGTTTACCTCTTTTCAGAACATTTGACGTGTTGGCAGCGTTCAAAACTGACATTCTTGGTACAAGTGACTGTATTTCTCTCCATTATCATCGCTCATTACCTGTATTTATGCACTGTAAATAGCTGATGTTTTCTCAATCGCGGTCTTCCTTTTCTCTCGAAATGTTTGTTGGTGGTTCTTACGTATATTCGTGTGTCAGCACCGATGATGTTTAATACCAGACGTATTTAATGTTTGTGACCTGGCCGATCAAATGATGGATATTATAAGTGCTGATCTTGTCCAAACAATGAATTATTATTTAACAATATTCCAGCTATATGGCGGCGGTCTGTAAATATTTGAGTCGACACCAGACAATCCAGTAAGCAATTGCATGGACATCGGTCTACACATTTGGGATACGATGACATGTGTCAACCAAGTCAGCGAGACTGACCACCCGATCCCATTAGTCGCCTCTTTCGACAAGCATGGGTTGCTGAAGATCAATTCTATTTTCACTGGTAAATATAAAGTAAGCAACTGAAACAGATATATGCTGTCTCGAATTTTATCAAATACCGAACTATGCCATATCTTTATGCCTGGACATAGAAGTGAACCGTCTTTGGTTTCCAACTGGGGGATTTCGTTGATCGAACTTTCTCTGATTAATAATGTTTAGATATAATTAAATAGTTGGAAGCATCTTATACACCACGTTTTTCACGTCACGCGATGACTATTCATTATATTTCACTAGACATATGAAATACGAAACATTTACCTCTACTTCTCTGTGTTCAAAGTCCACCGCTAGCCACGGCATGGTCGAAAAGTATTCGTCGAAATCTTCTTTCTCTTCATCCGAGCTGAGATATACCAACTGGAGGGCGACATCTTGTTTTGAAGAGGCCATGTGGTTGAAGAATGCGAGAAGTTGTTTTGTGAACTGTCGACAGGGAGGGCACCACTGAGCCCCAAAATACAGACCTGTAGGAACCAGTTCGATGTTTGATTTAATTCGTGAAACTCAAACTTAATTTTAAATTGTTCATCAGTAATAAAACATTCTATTTCAACAGTCTGCTTGTTGCTATGAAAGGGGTTAGGTTGCTGTGTAACAGGTCTTGTCGCTTCTATTTCCCAAATCGGGGAAACACTCAGGCATGTTTATCCTGATCCCTCAACGGACAAGTGTCCAGTAGATTTGGGTCTCATATTTGGAAAAGACAGCCTCTTATTAATAAACATTTCTTAGTTGATACATTTGGAGAGAGAACAAACGTTTAGTACATCTTCTGCCAAGAATCCTATAGCCGATGTGACGTTAAATATTAACTCCCTCACTCCCTCACTCTGCCAAGAATCCAAATTACGATTCTTGAAGAACTAAAATCGGCACTTTTCACATTTACTTTCTCCCGAGCAGTTTCCCATACTTTCTGCTGAAGCGGTTTGTCATACTTTCTGCAGAAGCGGTTTGTCATACTTTCTGCTGAAGCGGTTTGTCATACTTTCTGCTGAAGCGGTTTGTCATACTTTCTGCTGAAGCGGTTTGTCATACTTTCTGCTGAAGCGGTTTTAGGTATAAATGCATCAGGTGATGAAGAAACAAAACAAAACAACCCGAAGCAGTTGGGGGTCATTAATGGAAAGAAATGTCCAACAAAAGCCATCGTGAAACACTATGCAAACGTCTGACATGTATTTCATCAATTCTAATGCCGTGCCACTGTTACATGTATCACATCATGCATGAGAAACTAAACCAGATGTGCACTCACCCACCACAGTTCTTTCCTTGGTCAGCGACACGGGGTCAACCTTCTGACCATTTCCGTCTACCAGTGAGTCTCCAAGAAGTTCCACAACGGAATTCATGTTCTATACAGAAGCTGGTCCGATCTCCGTCGTGTCAGTTAGCGGCCAAGAGCTACACTTGGGACTCTGCTGTGGTCGGAGCTCCCTTGCTGATAAAGGCTATATGTGGTAAGGTAATGATCATTAACACTATTGTACGGCTTCCTGGCGTTCGAGTTATGTAAGGATTCTCTTCCCATTCAGGATGCATTTACAAGAAATTGCTTTCTAAATAAGGCATTAATAAAGTCACAGCGTGTCTCGTTTCACCAACAGGGGTTCTAACGCAATCGTGAATCCGAATATCCGTTACGGATACATTATAACGGTATTAATGCCTCAAACCAAAGGACGTATCACCAGTAGCAATACTAATTTAGTTCCGTGTTCGCTTACAAATTGTTCGTGGTTTACAATCATCATCCAGCCGTATCCCCCGTATCAACTGATTAATTACATTTCATTATACCGCTATAATCTCCGTGTCACGCATAGGAAGCAGAGTGTTACGTTACCCTGGCAACGTGCCTAAATGGGTTTGAGACGGAACGCAAAATGGAAGTCGCGTCACAGATGTGTGGGTTCAACAGGGTTGAATGTATATATATATATATATATGTGTGTGTACCACAGGAAACAACACTCATCCTGCAGGACCTCATAGCATTGCTTATCTTACAAATAACATCTGTTGTTATAATTCTGTCTTCAATATGACCGAAGTTTATGATTTGAGTGAGTGAGTGAGATTTTACGCCGCAGTATTTCAGCAATATATCACGGCGGGGGACACCAGAAAAGGGCTTCACACATGTGGGGATACACGAAAACAATTGGCTTGCTACGCGGATTTGTGCTCTTATTGGGTGAGTGAATTTAGTTTTACGCCCCGTTTAGCAGTATTCCAGCAATATCACGGCGGGGTCACCAGAAATGGGCTTCACACATTGTACCCATGTGGGGAATCGAATCCGGGTTTCGGCGTGACGGGGCGAACGCTTTAACCACTAGGCTATCCCACCGCCCCGTGGTAGTAATAAGAAGAGACCAAATGGAATTGGTGTTCAGAGTGCCGTTGTACAACACGACCTTAGCGCTAAGGTGACCATAACTCCCTTACCTTAACATAGACTTAAGGTAGTCTTGGCGCTAAGGTTGTTTTGTGCAACAGGATCCACGTTTGCTGACAAACAGACATATACTAACTATGTGATTATGGCTGATTATTTGGTGGAATGATTCTTTAGACCTGATTGTACAGAAATATCACGACGGGGGACTATGTCAGCTTGGAAGGCTCTCAGTGATGGAGGTATAACCTTGGTGAACCCCATAAACATGACTAGGGAGTCAGAATTCTAATCAGGTATTACGGGGATTCGATTCATCGAGACATATAGGGCGAGATAATCACATTATACATAGGCCTTGATAATTATTAATCAAAACGCAATTATCACATCTTGGTTGTTATGGAAACATTCATGTATACACCGTAATTACTCATGTCGATTACTCTGTATCATTACTTCGCGTTATGTAACCAGAATCAGTGGTGTAACAGTGTTTGGGTTGACGTCGCTTGTAAAGCTATATCGTGTCAGCTTGGTGTGGAAGGACAGCAGGTGTGGTGCGGACAAAATTAAACAAAGTAAGTTGAAATCCACAAGCATAGGATTCTGGCCGGTCCAATGGACGCATCTCTGCAGATGTAATTGCGGCGTCTTAGACGCCCGAGCCATTCGTGCCCTTAGAAGCAATAGCGACATAACAATGAAGACCTTGTACCGGCGTCTAACGCCTCTTTGATGATTGTCAGGTATTTCCATCTATCGACTCTCAAACTCATGTAGATTGTCTGATTAACGGTAATATATTTTGTATGTCAGTAACTTAAGAGAGCAGGACCTGGTGATGACGACAGCTCACAAGAGCTCTTATCTGACTTATTCTATGATTTTACGGTCACTCCCACTTATCTTTAGAAACAGCTAACAGACATGACAGTTAGTGAGTTTAGATTTACGCCGCACTCAGCAATATTCCAGCTATATGGCGGCAGTCTGTAAGTAATCGAGTCTGGTCCAGACAATCCAGTGATTGACATCATGAGCATCGATCTACTCAGAAGGGATACATTGACCTGAGCTTTTGCAATGACATGATCAATCAAGTCAGCGAACCTGACCACCCGAAAATATTTTGACTCCTCTACAAATAAGCATGGGTATAGACAGTGTGGAGAGTGTATGTTGTACCGGCTTGAACATGATGAATGCTTTGCTTCTGTGGAATTCTTAAGCATAATCATGATGAAAGTTTCTAACTGTTGATGCACATACACACCACCCATACATGTGTACGTGATGTTACTGTGATCTTCATAACGGTTCTACCCGTGAAGGTCCGGGTTAGAATATTGATATTCAGTAACCCATGCTTGTCGTAAGAGGCGACTAACTGGATCGGGTGGTCAGGCTCTCTGACTTGGTTGACACATATCATCGGTTCCCAATTGCGCAGATCGATGCTCATGCTGTTGATCACTGGATTGTCTGGTCCAGACTCGAATATTTACAGACCGCTGCCATATAGCTGGAATATTGCTGCGTGCGGCGTAAACTAAACTCACTCATAACGGTTCCATTTCTTGTGTGTGTCAAATAGTTCACATTTAAGTCTCCTAGCTGAACTTCCCAACCTCACCAGATGATGCTTCATTCTGTCAAATTTCTCAACAGTCCACAGGCATAAAAGCAAGGTATTTGTATTTACGGAGATAATGTTATTTGCCAAACAGAGTAAGAGCATGGATGCATATATTTACAAAAAAAAGTATGTAAAACTGTGATTGTGATAGTGTGAAAATTCAAGACACTCTTATATGCATTTTCCATAACATCAACACTTATCTCTGACTGCGGTTTAATTGTTTTTAAGATATCAGAAAGGATACACAGTTAATCCGAATTGGAAAAATATGATAACGGTGGCATAATCTCCACAATACATAAATAAAATGTGTAAAATCAAGAAGAATCTCAAACATTCTCACCATGTTGACAGACAATATGAACAATTACAGACATAAGAAATAGAAGTACCGGAGGTTTGAAGGAAAACAACGCTCTGTGGATAGTCAACTTCAGTATTGCAATGAGTGCGACGTTTCGGTGTAGATACTAACACCGTTATCAAGAAAGTGAGGGTTGGATAAACAAGTAATTATAATCAGGTCGTAATATAGATGCCATGAAAGTTATTTTTTTTACAAATACAGCTAAATAGAACAAAATCATAGACATATCACACGGTACATACAATTTGTGTTACAGGGTATCAGAAGAGAAAATGACTTTATGGTATTGTATAACGTAACACGTTTATTTAGTATACTTTGTTTCTGATAAGGTACAATTTACGCCTCACTAGTTATTGATTCACATCAACGTGAGAACCAAGCTAGGTGATACATCAGGTACTACGTGATTCTGCAGGTGTTCTGGGCAGTGTTTACAGGGTAGGTGATTGGATTGTATAGTTGCCACCAAGTGATACGGAACAACTCATTAACACAAATAGTTCGGAAACAATATTCACGCCACGTTTCTGTGTTCACGATTTGTTGGGTTGGAACCAATGTGCCTTCAGTCCATTTTGTCTACAGTCCATTTTGCGTATAATTTTAACTGTAGGCAGATTGGGAATAGAAAAACATCCGGGGGTCCGCTTAGGATACATTGAACTGACCCAATGACGACGAGTTTGTTGATTTCTTCCAGTGAGATATTGACAACGTGGTTTTAAAACCATTATAAAAAAGTCATTTAGTTATATGAGATAAGGAGAGACATGAATCATGATTTGACTGGTAATCGTTCTCAAACTGAAATCATATGTTGTTCTTGCTCGACATTTTTACTTCTAATTTCTCAAAAGTTACTTAAAGAAGATAATCCCTTATCTATCGCAGATTAGCATCTCAAGATAATCTCTTCTAATTCATAAGAATAAGACTGTAGGCAGAATGAACTTTAGGCACATTGGGAACATCCCGATTTGTTATATGGTTGATACCTTGATTCATTAAGATAATAAAGGCATGTGCAGTTGTTCAGTGTACGCACACGACACTATTTTATCATCAGTTGTTTCCTTCATGGTGTTTCAGCATTGCCAGTACTCCACGGGTCCTTGTCATGCGTTGGCGTGACATTTCCAACCACTTAGGTAGTTTCCGACAGAATCGATTTAATGATTTTGTGGTTACAATTTACTGCAGCTATCGATGGCTACATACGTGAGACACCTGAAGGATCACAATGTTTTGTTAAAGAGGCTGGCTGTGAAGCTGACTATTTAGGTCCGACAAGAACCAACAGGAATGACAGGAACAGTTCACTGGTCTGTGGCATGGAAACAAGGTTGATTCAGTTACAGGAATGAATTGTAATCAATACATTCTGGTTTCAAAGAAACATTGGCTGCTTGGTGTCCTGGGTCAGAGTTCCATAATGGAATATCAACGCTCATGGCTATGATATCGTTGGAGAGGATGGCGTGCGTGTATGTGACTACTTTTGGGCACAGACACCCAACCCTCCACAGATCTTCCCCCACTTTGAACACACTTATCCCACCCTTCTACTAGATCTACTTCTTGAACACACCCACCCCACTCTCCCCAAGATCTACCCCTGTGAACACACCCACCCCATCCTCCCCCCACCCCAGATCTACTCTGTAAAGATACCCACCCCATCCTCCCTAGATCTACTCTGTAAAGATACCCACCCCATCCTCCCTAGATCTACTCTGTAAAGATACCCACCCCATCCTCCCCACCTAGATCTACCCCATGAACACACCCAAGATCTACCCTGTGAACCACCCACACATCTCTACAGATACCCACACATCCACCTCCCCCAGATCTACCCTTTGAACACACTTATCCCACCCTTCTACATCCACCTCCCAGATCTACTTTGAACTTGAACACACACCCACCCTACTCTCCCCTAGATCTACCTGTGTGAACACACCCACCCCATCCTCCCCTGCTCTGTAGATCTACTGCTCTGTAAAGATACCCACCCCATCCTCCCCCCCAAGATCTACTCTGTAAGATACCCTACCCACTCTCCCTTCCTACAGATTTTCTTGACCCCCACCCCCATGAACACACCTGTGAAATCACCCTCCCCACTCTGTACATCTACAGATAAACACACCCACCCCACTCTCCCCTAGAACTACCCTGTGATGAACACACCCAAATCACCCTCCCCAGATCTACAGATAAACACACCCAAATCCCAGATTCTGCCCCACCCACCCCATCTCCC